CGTCTTTTCTTTTTCATTTAGTTTTCCTTGGATGTAGTTTTCTTTGTTTAAAACAGCATTGTCATATTCTTGTAACAAACCTTTAAAGGTATTAGCTGAAACAAAAGCATCCAAGCCAAGTTTTACTCCAATTCCAAAGTAACCAGTGAAATCAACTTTTATTAGCAGACACTAGATAAAATATAGCTATTCAGCAAATCTCTCTGTGAGAATCAGTCTATGATGAGAGAAGTTTGCAAGGAAATCAGGAGTTTGATTCTCAGATCTGCAAGAAATATTCACAAAAGCTTTCCATTTAATACTGGAAAAACAGTTTTTCATTTTGCACTATAGCATCCTTTTCCCAACCCTTATAGGTAAATAACTTGCTTCAGAACAAAATACAAAAACTGAAATAACACTAGATTGGGTATCAGTTTAGACCAGAAATGAAATCTTTGGTATACCATTTACTACTTATGATTTGGACAGGCCTCTTTGCTCTTTTCTGAGCAAATTTCATTTCAATGTAGAAATTTATTACCACTTATCTCAATTTTTTGTTAAGATTAAAATGAATTGATGATGATAATAAAAATAGATACATTTGGGCTGGCTGGTTAGCTCACTTGGAGAGCATGGTGCAGGTAACACCAAGGTCAAGGGTTCAGATCCCCATACCGGCCAGTCACCAAAAAAAAAAAAAAGATACACTTACTGAGATACATTCAGTTACTATACACCAGGCTGTTCACTGTTCTACAGGATTTTCATACATTATCTCTTTTATCCTCACAATACACCCAAAGCAGAAACAATCACAATCCCCATTTTGTAGACAGAGACACTAAGAAATACTCTTTTGTGTCCATCACTGTTAGGAAAAAAAGAGGGAAGGAACACACACCAATTCTTTTGTTTGACTTTCTTAGACTATATAAAGAGCTGTGGGAAAAATTCATTGTCATTCTAATTAAACAATGACTTGAACACTATAAGGTATAGAGACAAAATAACTTCCTTAAAGATGCATCCTACGGTAGAACTCAGATCTCTTGAAAATACTTTCAATTTCTGAAGTTAAAATGATGGCAAATAGTTTTGCCCTTACATTGTTTGTTGAACTCATCAATCATAATTTGTCGCAGGTGATGTCGTTTCTCTAAGGCTTCAATCAGCCTTGGAAGTGTCTGTTCATCATTGATATCCAAAAGTTCACATGATGGCAAAGGTGGAAAACTCTGTAAAACCACTTCGGTAACCAATGGTTCTGCAGAGAATTATAAAAAGTTACACAGAAGAGAATAAGCTTATTTAAACAAGTTAAACACTAATTAGAGCCTCAGTCCAATTAACTG